TCTTAAATTTTATACTTTTCTTGTATAATTTTGTACTTTTCTTGTACAATTTTGTACTTTTCTTCACTTTTTGTATCCCTACACCCAATGTATATGAAAAAAGATGTAATCTTGTTTTCAAATGAATATATATAATTAATGATTCCTTTATATATGTTTTGAGATGAATATAGCATTGTGTTTATATAATTATGAAATGTTCCTATAACTCTCTTCGTCATAGCTATCAATGTCGACCAAGGAGGCTCTTGAAAATTGGCACGAGGCTACTCCTGATGCGAGCGATGATGAAGGCTCGTCATCAGACGGGAGCACCTCGTACGAGAGCTAGGAACTAGCACCGAGGCCGGTGAAGAGACCTCGTGGTAAGGAAGAAGATGATCCGAACTTTGATCCAAAGGGCGAGGCACAAGGTTCTCATGCGGAGCCACGACAGCCTCTGAAAGATGATACCCAAGCAACTAGGCACGAGGTACGTAGACGAAGCAGTGTACGTTTATTGACACAACATTCGTGGGCCTCACACAAGTATATAACTAATGCGAGTTCTTGTCCTCGACAGATACCGATGGTGCCTCTTCGTTTGGAGTACCCCGACGGTGAAGAAGGGGAGGAGGAGGAAGCACCTAGTCCCTCCTCAGGCACTTTTTCAACCGCAACGATGGGTAGCAAGAAGAAGTCAAACTCGAAGAGGGGCCAACACGGGATGCATCAGATTAGCAAGAAGAAAGTGCGTGCGATACACAAGATAGGGCCAAAAGGAGAACCCTTGGAGCCAACTATCATCATCGACACCTTCAGCAACTAGTGTTCCTATATAGTCAGGGAGAAGGTGCCTATAACATATGATGATTGGAGGAAAGTCCCCAAGGATATCAAGGGAAATGTGTGAGGAGAGGTGAAAAGGCGGTTCACGTATCCAGCGGAGGGCTATGGTGAAGACAAGTGCATGGGGCATACGCTGTTTGTTGTAGGCAAAGCGCTTCGCAACTTTAGGTCCATGATCAATAGGGAGTACATGCAGAAAGGGAGGACACCATTCGAAGACTATAACTTCATCAAGCGTGATGTCTAGGAAGAGTTCATCGTGAAACAATCGACCGAAGAAGCAAAGGCTAAGGGCGAGAAGTTCTCTGAGCTCTCAAAGAGGAATGAGCTCCACCACCACCTAGGCATGACAGGGTATGCTGCAAAGATGAAGAACTGGCAGTAGGAAGAAAGGGAGGCAGCTGAGGCCGGGCAGCCGAATCCATTACAAGACGTCGATGAGAGGTCACATAACTACCTCTATGCCCGTAAGCCAAAAAAGCTGAAGGTGGGCAAGACCAAGTTCAATGAGCTGAAGGTCGAGGAGGTGGAGAAGAAGATCTTGGAGGTCTCTATGGCCGAGAAGAGCGAGTCCTTTGAATCTCACTAGAGAGAGGGGCGTACTAACTGAGGCGCTAGGAAATCCCGAGCACCGTGGCCGTGTCTGTGGGGGTTTCCTCGAGGCAGAGCTAGAAGGACGTGGAGGCCTGGCAATCCGACGCCAACTCTTACCACACGAGGCAGAGGTACAAGGAAGGGCTCCTCCAGAAAGGCCGTGATGAGGTAGTCAAGGACATGATCATAGGGAAGATACAAGACGCTTTCACGAGCACCGATCCCAAGACGGTGGAGCTGAGGACGCAGATGTTTCGCCAGGTTAGCATGCTGCTGCCATAGGGTCAAGCCGCCATACAAGGGCAGATGGTGCCACAGACCGGACAACTCCCCAGGTACCCGGTCGATAACATCATTGAACCAACGAGCTACATGCTCTAGGTGCCCTTCGGCAAGGCATAGAGGAAGAAGGACGTGGCCACAGGAGTGGCACTGCCGCCCGAAAGCGACGCCATGTACGACGGCAAGTTGATCCTGCCTGACTATGCTCAGGTCGACGTGACGTGGACCAACAAAGATTTTGACGAGGATGAAATCAACATTCCCACTGAAGAGGGGTATAGGTTCATCGGCGCTACTATCGGCATGCACGTGCTATAGAACAAGAGCGACATTGTCTTGGACATGCCGATGCTGGCGTCACAGCCCTCACACCCGTCATCGTCTCCCCCGGGTGACCCAGGTGACGACAACAACGGCGATGATGACAACGACAATGCTGGCAGCCTAGGTAGCAGTCCTCTAGGCAGTCCGCCTCCTGGCAACAGCAATCCACAGGGAAGCACAGGGGCATCATCGAGCGATGTGACACCACCTCCTACAAGTGGTTCGAAGTAGGGCTCAAACCAATGTCCTCCCCTATCGAGGAAGCCTGCATATGAACAGGAGCCCATACCCCCGAACCACACCAAGTCAAGTTGGGTGGCCTATCAAATGGCCAACGAGCACTCATACTCAACTACGTTTAAAAGGTATGCTACTAGCAAGCATAATCAATATATAATTCATTTCGAGATGCTATCTGCTTTTTCCACTCGCTAACATCACAAGCCCTGGTGTTGCAGGCCGAAAGCACTGCCGTCGTTTTGGCCCCGGTTGGATGATTGCCCTGAAAACTACGTGCATGGGAAGTTCATGTTGACCTTGGGCGACCTCCTTGAAGAGAAGTGGGAGATAAGGAGGTTCCATCTGTGGTACATGGAAGCAGCGAAAGTGGGCCTGGAAAACTTCGCCATCAACATTCCGGCGGAGCACTTCCACACACCCACAGATGGTGAAGTCATCGTAGATTTCCACGACATGCATAGAGTACTGCGGCGAAAGGACCTCGACGTTGCCCAAGTCACCTTATTTGCCCTGTAAGTTACTTATGACTTTGACACTACTGCATCACTGTAGGTACTTTTGGAACAAACTAATAATGCCATGATGACTTTTCCTTGCAGGATGCAGGCCTATGTAAGCAAGGAGTTGAGCAAGGATATTATCTCTCTCTCTCCGATGCTTATTACAGAGAGAACCATCATGGGTTACGATATACTAGACACTCATGAAAAGCTAGTGAACTTTAACCCGGAGGAGAGAAAGAAATACATGGAAGATCTAGTAATCGAATATAAGTATCGGGCGGGAATGTACATCTATGAGGCCATGAAGAAGGTCCAGGAAAATGGGTGCGTCATGGCCGCCCACCAGTTCAGGTAAGTCGAAAAGATAATTGGAATATATATATATATATAGACACACACACACTAGGTACGCTGGGATCATGACATTTCATATTTGAACATTTCTAATCTGTATTGTGTGAATGGTGCAGCCAGGACAACATGGGCCACTGGATTGCATTTATAATCTATCCTTAGAACGGAAGGGCCTGTATATTTGACTCTTCGGAGGATACAAACAAAATAGGGTACAAGCAATTTGAAAGCTATTTGAGATAGTAAGTGACATAACTTATTTATTTATAGTTAACATACTTGTTAAAAATATCGTTGACACTAGTGGTTTTTTGTATAACGCTTATAAGAAGTACGTGAAATATTCCTACTGCTATGATTGAAGATCTGAGAAGAAGATAAAAAATGGCACGAATCTGAAACTCGGGCATGAGTTCCTCGTAAGTACCAATACTACCACTGCTCTTCTCCTAATACTACACCTACTACTCTACTCTACTCTAGTACTCCTACTACTCCTTTTACTAGTACTAATACTCTACTCTACTCACTACCACTAGTTCTACTACTTCTACTGATTGTTTATTATATATGCTCTAATGATTGTGTATTATACATCGTGCAGTGCGCTAAACAACCATATGGCTCAGTTCTATGTGGATTCTATGTTTGCGAGTACCTGAGAACGTGCAGCAGATTCAGCAGCAGCTGGCGACAGCTCAAGAAAGCGCAAAGATGGTGGCGAAGGAAGAAGGTCGACCAAGACTTCAGACAAACAGTAGCAGACATATGTAAGTTTGTCACAGAGAGCGCGTATGAAGGGACTACGTTCTTCAACCGGAAAAGCGAGTTAGCGCGGGATACGAAGTTCGATAGGATCAGAAACTGGAGCACCAAGTTACGAATCTTGGATTATATTCCGCCGGACCTCTTTTCTAGTAAAAAATGATATGTATGAATGACCTTAGTTGCTGATGTACGAATGATTTGTGTTTGTGAAACAATGATGAAGACATCACTAATGTAACAACTTAATATCGGTTCGTTGAACGAGAATAAATGTAATATATGTTTGTCATATATTTTCTGCTTTATCTATGTTTTCATTAGCAAAAATTTTAAATTCAAATTTAAATTCTAATTTGAAAAAGCATTTTTTAAAATATGGAAATCATTAAACGAGGCGGCCAAGTAATAAAAACCGTCTCAGATAAATTCTTAACCGAGGTGGACGTCTTTATTCAACCGCCTCAGTTAAAATCTTAAGCGAGGCGGGCGCGTTACGACAACCGCCTTGGTTAATACGTATTAACCGAGGCGGTTAGCTTATGATGCTCGTCAAGGTTAATCTATTAACTGAGGCGGTTGGCCTCGGTTAAGGCCACGATTAACTGTGACTTTTGTGCCTAGGCGGTTGGCTTGTCCGCCTCAGTTAAGCTAAAATGTCCGTCTCAATTAAAATTCGCGTAGTAGTGATTGTAATTTGCCAAAAGCCTTACAAGTTATAGGCCTGAACATTGTAACAATCACTGCAGCGCGTTGCTGCTAGCTTATAAAGTTGTTTGTTGTAAAAAAAAAAAAGTGCCCTTTAGCTTCAGCCCCTACGGCCGCCCACTCGCCCTTACCCGTCGTCGCTCCGTAGCGTGGAGCGCCTAGCAGCACCGCAGCCCAAGCGGCCGCCAAATCCCCCCGACCACACGCCCCCTCCGCTCGCCTCCGTGCCTCCGCCCTCCGTTCTCCTTCTCCGTGACAGACTAAGGGCGTGCTGGTGTGGGTGGTGCCCCTCCGGACTCCGACCTCTTGCCTTCCCATCGACCGGCGACTTGGGCCCTGGGCAAGGAAGCCCGCGTGCCGGCAGATCAGCGCGTGCGCAGGTCTCCCCTACTGGCCAGCCCGATGCCCTCTCCGCCTGCTGGATTGCTGCACAGCACGTCCCAGAGACCACAGTGAGCCACTGAGTAATGGAGTGTTGATTTCTGAATTTCATTCATCATATTTTCTTGGATAAATGCCAATGTCTAGATTCTAATAGTTGCATGGGTTCGATGAATGCAACAGTGCGAAGTACGAGTTTGATGTAAAACAAGGTTTCAGTAAACGGGCTCTTAAACCTTGGTCCTTCAGTGGGCATTGTTTGGAGGCATTGGGCTAATACATACCGAACTAATGTCTATAATCCAGCTATTTTCTTCCACTTTGTTGCAAAATCTGACTGCGTTTCACCAGTATTGTCTGTTATAATCTATTATATGTTTTATTATACCACTAGTAAATTTTCTAGTCTTAAATTATTAGCCCCCCATTTGCCTCATTTCTGGTTCTGCCACTGAATTCGTGCAGCTAGGTTTGGAGGGTTGCACTGGCTTGAGAGCTCATACCAGTTTTCACCCCATTGAATCTTGGTGGTTCTTTACCTGAACTGCCCTCCCTGCTATGCACCCTGTTTCAGTCCCCTCCCAGCCCTATACGGCAACTCCTGCAAAACAACTTGTGTCAAGGTAAATCCATTTATCTAACCTCTTAGCAAATTGTGTGGTCTGCTACTGCTCCTGTGTCGCTGCTTCTCATAATGCTATCAGTTATTTCTTGGCATCAGTAGCACTGCTGTGAGGAAGGCCATCCATTTTGTCAACCTGCGGAGAGCTGGAAGGTCTAGTGGAAACCTGGCTATGAATTCCATACTGAAACCTGCCCCTGGGTCCGAAACATTTGGGAGGGAGGATTTTGTTGTGGGGGATAAGGATGCTGTGGTCATTGTTGATCATGGGTCAAGACGCCAAGAATCCAATCTCTTGCTAAGTAATAAACCTGATTTTTCTTGCAAGCCTTATCTTTTGCATTCATGGTGCTTTTACTGTGTCTTGATTCGTTTATTGAAAAATGCAGATGACTTTGTTGAGATGTTCCGGGCGAAAACTAGCTATAGGATTGTTGAGCCTGCTCATATGGTATTTTTCGTTGTTCCAGCCTTTTTATGCCTTATTATGTTTTTTCTTTGTGAGAAATGGAAACATCTAATTTATTAATGCACTTAAATCTTCTAGCATCATCCAAATTTTTGATGCAAATCAGTACTGTGCCTGTTTACAATTTTCTGAAAAAAGTAGGCATCAGTAAATCAACTTGTAAGTTGAATTCTATGTGACCCACGATCTGTTTGGATTTGGGAAATTTGGACCAGCATGTTTTGAATGTTAAGTATTAACGTGTTTTCCTTTAATCATTACTAATTTTTGTATTCTATGTGTAGCCAAGTCTGACTCTGCTTTCGAGCTATGCATTGCACCTTGTATTGTTCAGTGCCAGCTCATTCATTCAGAATTATCATGATCGATTTTGTTCAGTATCCTATGTAGTTTGTTTGTATTTAATTGCTGAAATTTGTACTTGACTCTGGATATCCTGTACTTAAACTCTCAAAGGACAATACAAGGCTGATGCCACCTTATTGAATCAAATAGATAAAGTAGTTATGGAATATAGAATCTGTCCTCATTTCGCTTATATTGTTTTTTAAGGAAATACAGTAGGGGAAACCCCTACTGTGCTAGATATATATTATATATAAAAGAAAAGGAATAAGATATCTGTACCAAGAAAAAGGAGAAAACAAAAGTGAGAAAGACTAAACAGGTAGAAATCATTTACACAAGAAAGAGAGATCATCTATGGCTTTCTTTTGTCCTGTGTGATTTGGATAAGGATTTCCACATTGAAGCTCTTTTTCGTGACATTGAAATTGGGTTTCCATCCTTGAAAGACCAGTCCATTTCTCCATTTCTTTGCCTCCCAATATCCAAATATGCCAGGCTGCGATTCTGTCATTTTCCATAAAGAAGGGTTGTTGAAAATCATTTTTCTCTTTGACCTGCACATTGAAGAAATTTAGTTTTGTGTCCCAAATTATTTCAAGGTAATTTCAGCATCTAATACTGAAGCTACAACCAAATAACAAATTGAGGATGAATTCTTGAATTCTGTATATATTGTATCTGCTTCTAAGAAGATTTCTTGTATTGGGTTTTAAGCACTTTGACTTCAGAGTTCAGATCCATAGTATAGGTCAGGGGAGGATGGAACTATTTTGTATGAAATCAGTCAATGAGATGTATATGTTTTTGGCAAAAGAAAAGGCATGGGAAGCTATCATTGCATTATGTCTGAGTGGAAAACAAAAATAGTACCACCCAGATAACATGATGCAATATCCTAGAATGAGAAGATAGCGTACTGTTTTCAACAGGCTGTATCAAAGGAAACTGAAATTTTACTAAGAGTAGATACATAGTAGCCACTTGTCCTTAGCAGCCAATGGGACCAGATGCGACGTCCTTTTGTTTGTTAGCTTTCTTTATTTATATGTCCTTTCCCTTTAATGTCTGGTTCAGTAAATTGAAAACATAAAACACAACTCTTTTAACACTCTGGACCATACATTTTCTGTTCAGAGCAAAACAGAACCAAACTAGTGTTAGTATTCTACTCCCCATGTAACTTTTCCCTATTATTAGTCTCCATGTAGAATTGGCTAGCTTAGCTTGTAAGTTTTTTTTCCTTGAGCACACAAGATAAATGTGTATCATTTCATTAAGGAAGAAGGGAATGCACTGGGGAAAAAACTGCCTAAAACATGCTAGAGATAGACACAGGTTTAGGTTTGGGGCTAGATTTCAGATTTCATTAGCCTTAGCCCCAAACCATGGCAGGATTGGATAGATATAGAGTAGCATACTTGGTCCTTAAGAAAGGATTACAGCATATTCCAAAGTAGGTGCTAAATAGATGCTAAAGCAAGATAAGAAGATAAGGTGCCGACATATGCACCAACTACTCCTAAGATAAGCATCCTAGATAGATAAGCACAAGACTTAAGCTTTGAAAACACACAGCTACACACCCCCTAACAGGAAGTTTAGATTTAATTCCCTTTTTTTGGATGTTTTAAAATGCATGCATTTGTTCTTGTCCTCTTAGTATAATTTTACTCTTGAGTGGAGATACTCAGCTGGTCTTCTGGTTCAAGTAGTGTAAAAGATTATAGGTTCTCATTTTGTTAGAGACTTATATACATATACTATACTGTTGGATAATCATGGAAACAAACTCCACAGAAATGTAGTATTCCATTTGGCCATCTTAGTCCATTGTGCTTGCCAAAGTTGGCCAAATCCTTGGCCACCAATTTGGCAACCAAAAATTTGCTTAGCTAATACATGGAACATTTGGGTGCAAACCAAACAGGCCCTAAAAAACTTTTGCAGAATACAGGTAACTGACAGCTTGACAATGGCTTGCTAGTCAATTTTGAAATTTCCAGCTTATGCTCAAACCAATACATATCATGTTGCCAATATCTACCAAGAAACAATTCAGGTTACTGCCTCATGGTATTATGGTTTAGAATAGAAAACATCAACCACTCGATTTCTATGGTCAAGAGAAGCAATTGCGGCTGTCATGGCCCTCATCTTTTCATTTTCTGATGCTTTATGCAACATTTAGGTGATTGAATCATCAAACCACTTGTCAAGAATTATTGTGATTTTCAAACTGCAATTGAATAAATTGTTGAATCATATTGTATTATCGTCGCTTAGAGCCATTTCATGGAATATTGGAGATCGCACCATAGTGCCACTACAGTGAACCTTTGGTAATGTACCTGTTGTGTTCCACAAAACAGTTCAACTTAATGCCTATTGGCCAAGTTAAAGAATATATCCATCTTTGTCATCAATTTGGTGAAGTTAATGCTGCTGATTGGAATCAGTTAAATATACAACATTAAGTGATTTGAATGAAAGGTGACCTGGCATATAGCAATCTACAGGATAGCAGTTAGCACCATAGTTACCTCCACTCTATTTGATTTATATTGTACTTGGGGCTCTTTTTTTTTAGTAACTCTTGGTGTATTAATTGTTCAATGTTGGATGAACAGTGGGTGTGTTTATCACCCTATTTATGGTGCATTTCTGTTCATGCTAAATGTATGTATTGCTTAATCTCTTTTGCTGCCATTTTCTATATTTCCTGATTTCTAGTTCTTTGTAGTGTTAAGGTATTGGCTGGTGTTTATTGGGTCAAGTTTTGTTCCTTTACCTTCAGTTTCTTAAAAAACACAGGAGCTAGCGGAGCCTACTATAAAGGATGCATTTGGAAAATGTGTGCAACAAGGAGCATCCCGAGTTATTGTTAGTCCATATTTCCTTTCCCCTGGACGACACTGGAAGCAAGTATGTTTTTTTTCCCTTTTTTTTGTAATTATGTAAGGTTGACAATGCTTACTGATAAGGGTGTTAATTGTTAAAGGTGCTGTATTCCATTGCTTATAGTTTATTTAGGATGAAGATGTGTATCTACCCTGTACATACAGCTGCATATAATAGTTATGTTCAGACAAGGATTTCCATATGCACTGACACCATGTTTGATTTTTCTCAGGACATTCCTGCTTTAGCAGCAGAGGCATCAAAGGAGCACTCAAATATACCCTATATTGTCACTGCCCCTCTTGGGCTGCATGAGCTTATGGTGGTATGTGCTTGTGAATTCCCTCTAGGTTATTTCTGTCATTTTCAGCAGTTGTTAGTAGAGAAGCAAAGTAGATATGACGTGAATCTGATTTGCAGTTATTAACACTTAACAGTTCTTGTGGAATTTTGTGACAAAGAATTTTGTTAACAAATAGATCGCTAGAATTGCTGTCCTCTTTTGGAAAAAGAATGTTGAAATTTTCTACAAAACAAAATTATGATGTGTGTAATTAATGGCCTTGACCTTCATGTATGTCTACCTTGATGATATGTCATATTTGCATAGTGATTAATTTTCAAGGTCTAGGGGCATTAGAGCACTGTATACTGTAAAGGCTTATGTAGCAACTAGTGTCAGAAATAAACTATAGTTGTATATAAATGTATAAAAGGAATTTTTGCATTACAACCAGCTGGCTTTCATCTTGTGCATAATTGTCAGTCCATACGGGCTATCTGGAATTTCGGTATCAATTTCTTAATAATACAGGAGGCAATTGTCTAACTATGTGAGCAATTAAGGACAGGGCTTGTTGATGAGTTGATTTATTTACTCCATAACATGTTATTGCACTCTCCGTACTGAATATGCTTTGCAGGATATCATGAACGATCGCATCAAGTACTGCCTGCGACATGTTGCGGGTGATGTCGATGAGTGTACAGTGTGTGCTGGAACTAGAAAGTGCCGCCTGTACTCCTGATGGAGAATACCTGGGAGGCACGTCGATACTGCAGCTTGGAATCTGACTACATGTGGCAATGGATTTCAATGCCAATTGTTTCTCTGTATTACCATTTATCAGATCGGGTTCAATATTTTTTTCTCCTGTATACGAGATCCGACGAGTGTATATCCAGGTCCGCAGTGTACTGTGAAACCAAAAGTTACCGTTGTATAGTTCATCTTGTAATCTTGGACCGTCCATATTCTGAGCAGATCGTCAGAATTAACCAAGTGGTAGCAAATTAGTTATGCATGGTGCATGCTTGAAGAACATCAATAATGATTAGAGATTCATTAGCTAATCTTGAGTCAATTATTCTGTTATTTACATCACGAATAAACTCTAGTCAACAGTCAAGTATATTCTGTTATTTGCATTCACATGTAATCTACATTCCTTCTACCTTGTAGATGAATTATACTTACTGCCTTAGCATGAATCAAATGATAATATCATGTCGTTGTTTGATTTGCCACTTTTTGTTGTCATATCATTATCGATGGGAGATATGAAAACGTATCGCTTGTTTTCAATGCCACTAGATTTACCCTGCAGCTTTAAGGATTGCCAGTTTATCGTTTTCATTTTTCATCCTTGAAAATTGAAATGCTGACACGAGCGATGTCCCTCCCTCGTATTCATCTAATCAACTTCCCAACGCTGATCCGTGCCCACCGACGGGATTGTGCTATACTTTTCGCTGAAGCAGTTCCCTTCTGTTGTGCCGAGGTGGCCAGCGGCCTACTAACAAGGAACAGGGGTGATTCATGATTGGCACTTTGGCAGATACCAGGAAACACCAACCAAGACCCACGAGACAAATGAATGATTAATAGAAAACAAAGCCCATAAAACGGAAATGAATGACTGAGAACAAAAAACAGCAAGCCCGCAACAAACATGAGAAAAATTGTTCCTAGGAAAAATAAAACCTTTTCAACAACAATGCAAAGTTTTGAAAAACATCTACATAATAAACCTTTTATGAAATGTTCCAGCTTGAAAATACAATTTCTACGGCTCATCGATAAGTGGTCTACTTTCTTGAGAAAAAAAATTCTAGCTCATAACAAAACAATATTCTAGCTACGTAACAAAAATATTCTAGATTTAGAAGAAAAATTTTATAGCTTTACAAGAAAAACATTATAGATTCATGAGAATTCATCCTAGCTTTATGATAAAAGTGTTCCAACTTAAAATAAGTAATATTCTAGTTTCAACAGAAAAATGTTCCATATTCACGACAAAATTTCTAGCTCCATGTGAAAAATTGTTCCAACTTTTAAATGAAGTGTTCTAGCTTCACGAGCAAAATATTCTAGTTTATGATAAAAGTGTTCTAGCTTTTGGATAACATGTTCTAGCTTTAGGAAAAAAATATTCCAACTCAAAATGAAAATGAACATGAAAATAACGATGTGCAGAATAATCAAGTGAATTAATGATGTACTAAGGTAATCACAAAATATTGAGAAACAAATAGAAAATTAGAGCATGATGAGAGGACATATGAAATAGAAGCAATGAAGGCTCTGTTCGGCAGGACTTATTGCTGCTGCAACTGATTTGTAGGGCTGATTTGTTGTGAGAGAAAAACACTGTTTTATGACTGAAAAAGTAGGGCTGATTCTGGCTTTATAAGCTCAAGCGAACAGAGCCGAAGAGGGCAAGAGCAAGAATTGCATGAAAAAATAAGTATAGAGAAACAAAGCAGATTTAAGACCTTGACAAAATACCAAAAAGAAACAAAGAGATGAAAAATAAGTATCATTATTGTTTCACTAATTTAAACCGATGTTTCGCTAGCCATTGGCAGTTACGGATACTCCACAGATAACAATGTTTGATTCAGCAGATTATTAATAATAACAAACATTGTACACCATGTAGCGAGACAGGACCTTTGTTTATATTCTGCAGCCTCATTATAGGGAGTTTAGGAATTATAAAGCGTGATCTTATTAAGGTAAACAATATGAGATCCAAGCACTCTGCAGAGATCATACCCAGTTATGAAATTCTGAATCAACAGATATATCACAAGCACATACTATAGCACCTAGAAGAGGAGATATGACAGTGATTGCCCACTCAAATCTTTTGTCTTTAGGCAGTGAAAGAAATGCATACAAAGAGTGATGAGTGGTCATACTAAGGCAAATCAAACCAGATCACTCCTCAAGACTGTCCTGTTCCCTCAATGCTGGGAAGATTGGAGGCCAAACCATCATGAAGGGGTTGATATCTAAGAAGTACCCATCACGCACATTCAACTCGTTATATACCTTCTCACTCCTGCTCGGCAGATGCATATGCATGAGAACCGCACTGGACCGCAGCCACAGGAACACAAACTCGAGTCTGTCATCAACCGCCATCACCAGAACATGCTCAAGACGACTGCACGCCTCACGCACATGAATTTTGTCATGCACCAGCAGCCAGTCATTTGTGTCGATGCTGGTGGTGGGAAGGTGCCAGATGCTGAGCTGATACCCGTCGGCGTGGACGAGGGATAGCCTAGAACCATCCTCTCCACTTGATATCATGAAATTGTCCGTCCTCACTCTGTTTGGCAGCCGCAGAAGAACTCTTGGCGGCGGCCATATCCAACCGGAGAACATGCCCAGACTTGGTCAAGCTGTAGATCTTGCCTCGGACAGGCGGCAGCGTGTACGCAATCGGAGGCAATTTCTCCGGGAGAAGTATTACTTCACTGCGACGGACGACCCAGACGCCAGACCTTGGAGTGAGCAAATCTACTTGGAGTTTTGTTTCCGCACCCATAGGCAGCATCAATACAGCGATGGCACCGGCACCGTCGTCGCTGCCTTCCTCCTCTCTCTCGGAGAGGAAGAACCATATGAGACTATGCTTCGGTGGCGGTGGGAGGATGACCTTGGCATACGTAGGATGCAACGGGCTGAGGACAGCTTGACGGCAGGATGCGGACCGTCGGTGACGCTCGCACGGCGAATGGCGGCGGAGAGCTCAGGGGATTGTGAGACTGGCACGAACTGTGGGCGCCATGAGCCCATTTCCCTGAGGTAGAAGCCTAGAAGTGTGGGCGGGTGACGCTCTCGGAAGCGCCGGAGGAAGGCCGGGTCGGAGGCGTGCCGGAGCCAGCGCTTGCAGACGACGGTGGTGGGGAAGCCGACGCGGAGCAGGATCTCGAGGAGGAGGTCGTCGTCGCCGAGCACCGCAGAGATCGCGGCTGCACATGCCGCCGACGGAGGCGTGCCGGACCCCGTCATCTCCCTATTGGCTTCCATCCACATCCACTGCAGAGCATCTCCGAGAGTTCCCTAAATATCCTCTTAATTCTTATTTATAGAAGGATAGAGAAAAAACTTTCTCCAACAACTCTTAATATTTACTCCTAATCTTTTAGGACTTGGGAAATTTCTCCCCTTCTGCGTAACTTTACGCGGACGAAGCCACGCTCGGAGACGCCGTTCGACGTTGCGGAAGTCGCGGGCGGCGGGGTCGTAGACGACGCGGAGCTGGTCAGAGAGGCACGGCGCGACAACGGGGTCGTCCATGGCCGTGGCGTTCCTCCACAGCCCATGGCGTAGACAGCAAGGAGGAGGACAGCGGCGACGGCGAGGATGAGGTCGGCGCGGCGCCACTCCCTGCGGAGGTTCTGCAGCAGGCCGGCCTTGCAGGAGGCGCATGAGTAGCAGAACTTGGCGTCCTCGTTGCTCCAGGCGGTGCAGTCGGGGTCGGCGGTGGCGCTGATGGGGCTGATCCAGTACGTCGGGGGTCACCAAGGTGTAGCCGCAGCTCGTTGGAGGCTTGCAGCACCCCGACAGTAACTGCAGAGGGGTCATCCTGTTTAGGGCTGCCGTGAACAGGTCCTGCGCCGTGTCGTACGTCCCATTGAAGTCGGTGCATGTGAGCGTGGCGGCCAGGCAGGCCTTGATCCAGTCCCAGCGTCCCGGCGCGTCCAGGCGAGCGCGCAGCCAGCCCGAGTAGTCGTCCAGGTCGTACTCGAGGAATTCCCGGCTCGGCACCCGGTGGCCCAACGAGCCCGTGGTCACCGCAAAGACGAAGACGGCGAGGCAGGCCAGTGCCACGACGACGACAAACATGGCCATGAGGTCGGCGAGGAGGAGCCACGGCAGGCGCCAGAAGGTGGCCACGAAGCCCGCGAGGACAGCCACGCCGAGGGCAATCACTGGCCACTGGAGGATCTGGACGCAGGCGTTGTCGGCCTGCGTCGTCGACAGCCAGATGCCGGCGGCGATCACGGGGATGGACAGCAGCGCGGCCACGACGCTGATGGCGGCGACGCCCATGTAGTTGAGCGCCATGGCTTAGCTACCGCTCCTAATCCTAGCAGCTCAGAATGAAATACGACAATACATACATACATACTACAAAGTGTGGCTGGCCGGCCAGCCTCCTTTGCGGACGGTACCAACACATACATACAGGCCCTATACTTGCCCGTTGCCGTGTGGTAACACTTGTTCACCATGCCATAAATCGACGTGCCAATCAAGCTTCACAGCAACATACTGTTGAAAACCAGAATCCTCATCCAAGTCCATCGAATCAGAATGCACACCTGCGACTGGGAGGCTGCGGCGGCGGCGTGCTGCAGTGGAAGAGTAGGAGCGAAGGGAAGAAGAGCAGCAGGCGGCGGCGGCGGCGTGGATACGCGCGGCGACGAAGAGGTTCGCGTGGAAAAAAAGAAGATTGTAGAAAAAAAGTCAAATGGGACCAGCATTTAATTTTTTAAAGTCAAATATCAGGAACTATTAGAGATGAGCTTCTTTTTTTTCTCCTAAAATCTTTTTAAGAGTTGATAAACATAGATATTTTAGGAGAAATATTTAGATAACTCTATATGCTCTCAGCGATGGGAAAAGGGGCTGCGGATTTGGCCGGAATTTGGAGAGGAAGAGGCCACAACCGGCCAAAGATTGGCGAGACACGCGGAAACGGGAGAAGGGGAAGGGAGAAAAGCCTTGTGTGTGTCCTGAGTCCTGCGACGGTGCCAGGTGCCGGCTAATCACTCCTGATTCTTGTTGTTTGTGCTTCCCACTCATCTCATAATCTCATCTCACACGTTCTGCAAATATCTCCACCAAATCCTTACGCCCTCATATATATTTTATTTAAGAATTATTTATTTTCATATCATAGAAGAAAAGGACAAGAGCTCATATGAGTCAATGACATATGGGACAGGATGATATATTTCCAATTCAGCAAAATTATAATGGCCGTCTTCAAATTTTCCTTAGAAAAAATATATGAAGCGGGTAAATTTCGGATGTTCCAAAGGAGCCTTTATAGTAACGGCTAATTAGAACTATACCATTACAAAATTGATCTGTTCGCTTATATTGAAATTTAGTTTATGTTGATACTTATGCTAATTTATTGTTTGAAAAAAATATTATTTATTAGCTGAAAACTAGTTTAAACGAAGAGGGCTATTGCCGCACTTCTTCTCATTTAATACGGCCAGTGGCATTACAATTCATTAAGATTCTGCCCGCGCCTCCCCATCAGGCCCCCTACGGACGGCTCAACTCTTGGACCCATATGCAAGGCATCATAATTTTGTATGGACCAAAATGCCCTTTTTACTCTCTCTCTCTCCCTCCATTTACTGATAGATGGGTCCCACTTGCCATCCTATTCCTTTCCCATACCGCTTGCTGACGCCGGAGAAGCCGCACGCCGACTTCGCGTATGACAACTCCGTCAGCCATGGCTGCGTTTGTTTGTAGCCATGTTGCATGCCGCCACCTCACTCAAGCTTGCGCCGCCGCCGCTCGCTTCACCGCTGCCACCGGCCATCCTCCTCGTCCCTCCCCATAGCCAACCCACCATTAGACAAGCTCACGAGCAAGAGCGAGGAAGAGAGCGAAGGGGCATCGGCTTGAGGTACGCCTCTGCGGCGGCAGGGTGCTAGTGCGCAGGTCTCGGACAGTGGCAGGAACGTGCGACATGGGGTGGGCACAATGCGGACTCAAGGTGGGCAAGCCAGGCGACCATGCCTTCGTCGCCTCCGGTGAAGATGGTCGGCGTGTCGTCTTGGGCGCCGACATCATCACCACAGAGACTGGCGCATCGACGACATAGCAATGAGTTGTGCTTGTGGCTGCAACAATCTCACGCACGAGGGAAGGGGAGGAGTGTGTGCAGTCCACCAGCACGCCACCGCGACGGAGGCTTGCGAGGGCCTCGATGTCGAGATCCAGGACTACCGTGCAAATGTCGCTAGTGGTTGGTGTTCGTGCTTGCCGGTCAGACCCACGTGCCGCAGGCCGCTGCTGGTATTCTCGTGGTCGGGCTCGCCGGCCAGTTGCACGCACTATTTGCCTAGTGTTTAATGGTTTGCCTAATGCCAATCGTTGGACACTAGGCAAAGAGTTTGTTTGCCGAGTGTTAGACCTCGGAGCACTCGGCAAAATAAAGGCATTAGGTAAAATAACTATTTACCAAGTGTCGACACTAGGCAAAGAAATCCACTTAGTAAATGACCATTTTGTCTAGTGTTAATACTAGGCATACCATCATACTCGGCGAAGGCTGCCGGAGGGCAACCGCCGTTACCATTTTGCCGAGTGTCTTCCGTTAACACTCGGCAAAATTAGAACTTTGCCTAGTGTCTCCGGACGACACTAGGCAAACTGGCCAGTTTGCCTAGTGTCTTACAGAGACACTAGGCAAAATATTTTTTCTTTTTTTTGATTTTAGCTTTCAATTTTTTTCTGTAGCTTTCCTACTATACCTTGACCAACATGTTGAAAGTTGGCACAATTTTATGAAATTTTGATATATTTCTTTAGTTTATTTAATTTCTTTGAATTTTTTCGACAAATGCAAATTTGAACTGCAAGTGTGACGAATAATGGCAATTCATGAATGCAAAAATGATATTCATGTTAGTACGTGTTAGTTGAGGCCGTATCCAGAAACAGACCAAAAATTTCACACATCTTCACGTCGAGACATGACCACGAACTTGCGAGCAAATAGTTTTTAAATTCTATTAAATGAAAACGGAGTCTGAAATTCATGAAACTTGTCAACAAGTCAAGATATCGCATGCGGGTGCCATGATAAAAATTTAAAAAGATTCCGAGCACATCGTCACGTATGATGCTTAGAAACCCTAACATCTCCACATGGTCGGTACTACCGGTAGAAGACCGGTACTACCGCTAGGCCAAAAACCAGCACAACTGTGAAGACCTGTAGTACCGATGAACTTCCGGTACTACCGTTCAGGCCGGTACTACCGGTAGAGTACCGGTACTACCGGTAAGTCAAAAATTGGCTCAGTTGTGAAGACCTGTAGTACCGATGTACAGCCGATACTACCGGTAGACGACCGGTACTACCGGTAGGTCAGTTTTGAGCAAAAACACTGGGTACGAACTACCGGATGTCAGCCGGTACTACCGGTCAAACAGCGGTAGTACCGCTAGGTCATTTTTCCACTGTTTTGTGAAGACCGGAAGTACCGGTACTTACAACCGGTACTACCGGAGACACTTCGAAGAAACCCAGCAGTGAGGTGTGCCAGGTATTTACTCTATTTTTACAAATAATTTTTTTTTGCCTAGTGTTAGATCCTGGACACTAGGCAAAGCAGGATATT